AAAATGAAAGTTGCTTAATCGTGTCCAACTCTTTGTGACCCCATGGACTATACAGTCCATGGAATTCTCCAGGCCAGAATACTGGAGTGGGTAGCCATTCCCTTCTCCAGGGATCTTCCCAACCCAGGGATTGAACCCAGGCCTCCCACACCGCAGGTAGATTCTTTACCACCGGACCTACCAGGGAAGCCCTCAAGAAACAAGAGAAACATCAAATAAACAACATAACTTTACAACTAAAGCAGCTAGAAAAAGAACAAAAAAAAATCCCAAAGTTAGGAGAAGAAAAGAAATCATAAAAATCGGAGAATAAATAAATGAAAAAATTAGAAATGAAAATGCAGAAACTACAACAGACAACACAGAAATACAAATGATCATAAGAAACTACTATAAGCAAGTATATACCAATAAAATGGACAACTTGGGAAAAATGAACAGATTCTTAGAAAAGTATAACCTTCCAAAACTGAACCAGGAAGAAATAGAAAATCTGAACAGACCAATCACAAGCACGAAAATTGAAACTATAGTCAAAAATCTTCCAACAAACAATAGCCCAGGACCAGATGGCTTCACAGGTGATTGATACCAAAAATTTAGAGAATAGCTAACACCTATCCTACTAAGCTCTTCCAGAAAATTGCAGAGGAAGGAAAACTCCGAAACTCATTCTATGAGGCCACCATCACCCTGATATCAAAACCAGACAAAGACGCCACAAAAAAGAAAACTACAGGCCAATATCACTGATGAATATAGACACAAAAATCCTCAACAAAATTCTAGCAAACAGAATCCAACAATATATTAAAAAGATCATACATCATGATCAAGGGACTTTATTCCAGGGATGCAAGGATTCTTCAATATTTGCAAATCAATGTGATACACCATAGTAACAAATTGAAAGGTAAAAACCATATGATTATCTCAATAGATGCAGGGAAGCCTTTGATAAAATTCAAAACCAATTTATGATAAAAAGTCTCCAGAAAGTAGGCATAGAAGGAACATACCTCAACATAATGAAAGCCATATATGACAACCCACAACAAACATTATCCTCAATAGCAAAAGGATTTCCTCTAAAATCAGGAACAAGACAAGGGTGCCCACTCTCACCACTACTATTCAAAATATTTTTGGAAGTCCTAGAGACAGCAGTCAGAGGATAAAAAGAAATAAAAAGAATCCAGATTGGAAAAGAAGAAGTAAAACGCATACTGTTTGCCCATGACATGATCCTCTATGTAGAAAACCCTAAAGACTCCACCAGAAAATTACTAGAGATAATCAGTGAAAATAGTAAAGCTGCAGGATACAAAAGTAATACACAGAAATATCTTGCATTCCTATACACTAACAATGGAAAATCAGAAAGAGAAATTAAGGAAACAATCCCATTCACCACTACAACAAAAAGAGAAAAAACAGAAAATACCTGTATACAGAGAACTATAAAACACTGATGAAGGAAATCAAAGATGACACAAATAAATGGAGAAATATGCCATGTTCTTGGATTGGAAGAATCAATATAGTGAAAATGAGTATACTACCCAAAGCAATCTGAGTTCCTCCTCAATGGACAACAATTTGCTAGATATTTTTGAGCTGTTATACAGAAACTAAGACCCCCTGCCCAGGTGGAGAATGGTGACTACATGCTGACCACAAGCACACAGTTCCAAGACTGGTTGGAACTAGAATGTTGATGATTAAGATTCCTGAAACACAACCCTGTGACCTCACCACCAATCAGTCAGAAGAACATCATGTATACTGTGGCCCTCACCCCAGATGTTGCCTTTAAAACTGTTCTCTGAAAGGCAAGCAGGGAATTCAAGTCTTTTTAACACAAGCAGTCAGTTCTCCTCACTTGGCACCTGGAAAATAAACACTGTATTTTTCTTCACCAACAACCCAATGTCAGTAGATTGGCTTTGCTGTGTGGCAGGCAAACAAATTCTATTCAGTAACACTCTTGCAACTCTTTCACCATTGTGTGCTATGGAATACAAATATTTCATCTTCTATTATCAACTGTATCCTTACTATATTCAGATTCACCTAGGCCAGATAACCTATCCCCACTTCCTTCAGGGCTCTTTGCTTGCAAACTATTTCGGTGTCAAGTAGTCTGTTAAACAACGTTCCCACTTACCTACACTAGATATTCATTCTAGCTATTTTATAAAAGTAAGACACCTTTAATAAAACATATGACATAGCTTACAAAAATTCTGTGAGGGCCAGAAAAGCATGCTTGGATGCTGCACATCCAGGGGAAACCCCCCTCACACTATTGGACTGTTATAGCTGAAAACCATGGCTGCCAGCAGGCTAGCTGACATTCATGCATTCAAGCACTCTGCTGTGGCTACCTATAAAAACCAAACACCTCTCCCACCATACATAGCTGATCCTACATGTGGCTCCCACATTACTCAGTTATACCTCCAAGCTTTACTATGGTGCATACATTTGATACATAGAGATCTTGTCTGGCACCCTAGACACAAGTAGGGCATGTCTAGAAAACATATACACCCACACTAATATCAGTCTCTATTCTTGTTCTTAGCTTTCTAGTCTCTATAGTGGAAAAGAAAGTCGCTCATTCATGTCCGACTCTTTGCAACCCCATGGACTTGCAGTCCATGGAACTCTCTAGGCCAGAATACTGGAGTGGGTAGCCTTTCCCTTCTCCAGGGGATCTTCCCAACCCAGGGGTCAAACCCAGGTCTCCCGCATTGCAGGCAGATTCTTTACCAGCTGAGCCACAAGGGAAGCCCTTAATCTCTATAGTACAGGAAGACATTTAATAAAGAGTGTTTATGAGTGTTAGGATAGTTGCCAAGTGACCAAATTGTGGTATATTCCACAGGATCTGTTTTTTTTTAATTGTAAATGATATATTCACAGTGAAAATATTATTTTCTATTTGGTGCAATTATTTTGCATATATTAGTCTCACATATAATAAACTGGTTGGAAAGTGAAAAAAAAAGTGAAAGTATTAGTTCCTCAGTTGTGTCCACTTCTTTGAGACCCCATGGACTGTAGCCCACCAGGCTCCTATGTCAACGGAATATTCCAGGCAAGAATACTGGAGTGGGTAGACATTCCATTCTTCAGGGGATCATCCTGACCCAGGGATTGAACCCAGGTGTCCTGCATTGCAGGCAGATTCTTTACCATCTGAGCCACCAGGGATAATTTTCCATAGCTTCTCTTGAGTTTTATATGAAGACAACTATACTGACAGGTTTGTTTATTTTCAGTTTTACAAGTGTTAATGTATGTATGTACATATTTTGACTTACTGCAGTGCCTCAGAGACTCAGTAAGATGTTGAATAGCAGTGATTATGTGAATCATCTTTGCCTCTTCTGATTTAAAATGCAGTGGTTTTAATGTCTCAGTATTATGTATGTTGTTTGTTATAGTTTTTCTTAAATACCCATTATCATTTTAAAGAAATATCTTTCTATTCCCAGTTAGCTGAGAGTTATTTTTATTGTTGTTTAATCTTGATTGGCTATTGAATTTTGTTGCATGCATTTTTTTTCTGGAATCTTTGTGATAATCATTCTTTTCTAGCTCCTTTTCCTTATTAATGTGTTGAATTACATTATGGATCTCCTAATGTTAAACCAACAATGCAAATTTGGTATAAACACAACTTTGCCCAACTATATTATCTGTTTTAGCTATTTCTGGATTAAGTTTGTCATTATCCTATTTCTGCTTTTTTACGTTTTTATAACCAATTAAGATTGAGCAGTAATTTTGCATTCTCATGCAGTCTTTGTCAAGAATAAGCTTAGATGATGGCTGCTCTGTCAGTTTGGGTCTCCAAGGTCTACCATCCTGTGATGGGCATGCACCTGCCATAGACATGCAGTAGGAGTGAGGAGTAAGCCACTGAGATATGGGGATCATCTATTATTATAGTATAATTTAGCCTATGGGCTTCCCAGGTGGTGCTAGTGGTTAAGAACCTGCCTGCCAATGCAGGAGACATAAAGGATGTGGGTTTGATCCCTGGGTCAGGAAGATCCCCTACAGGAGGGCATGGCAACCCACTCCAATATTCTTGCCTGGAGAATCCCATGGACAGAGGAGTGGGTCACACAGAGTTGGACACAACAGAAGTGACTTATCAAGCATGCAATCTAGTCTATCCTGATTCTTCTTATCTGTAAATTAAAATAACATCCTTTCAGGATTTTCCTGAGGATTAAATGAGAAAACTTGTATTACAAGGTTATCACAATGTTTGACATATAATAGGAATTCAAAAAATAGCAACTATAATTATTAAATAATAACTAATTAGTTTTGAAAAAGTGTGGAAATTGGTATAAAATGTGAGACAGTTCGCCCTTACAAGTAAGTTGTATCATCTTCTCCAGAGTGGGGCATTTTATTTTCCTTATAAGATTTCCTAATGACTAGCACTTATGCACTTATTTCTTGCCATCATGATATCAGAAACATAAATTGAGGTTGTATATAAAAAATGAAAAAATGGAAAGGCTAAGCAAAAGAATGACTAATGAAATAAGATAAAATGAGTAAGCAATAAGTAGTTTCTTAATAAGAACAGATTATAATTACCAGTAAACATACATTGTTCTTAGTAAACAAAGGTACAAGGCATTAATATGTTAGAAGAGATTTAGTTTGAACAGGTTCTCCCAAAATGTTTTCTATGGAACAATGGTACTTCAAATGGTCTGTGGGAAAATGTTCCATTCCCATAGAAACTGAGGAAATTAACTGCTACAGACTGAATGTTTATGTTCCAACCTAATCTCCAAGGTGACAGTATTTGGAGGTAGAGTCTTTGAAAGGTGATTAGGTCATGAGAGAGGTTCCCTCATGAATGGGATTTGTGCCCTTATAAAGAACCCAGAGAGCTCACTTGCCCTTCTGCCCTGTGAAAATACAGCATGAAGACAGCCCTTTATGAAGCAGAAAGCAGATCTCACCAGATACTGAACCTGCTGGTGTCTTGATTTTGGACTTCAGAAATTCCAGAACTGTGAAAAATAAATTTCTGTTGTTTATAAGCCACCCAGTCCACAGTGTTCTACTATAGAAGACTGAACAAACTAAGTCACTACCCCTTTACTCAAGTTGCATACTAGCATGTTATCTTTAAAGACAATATAGAAATCCTTTTACCTTCATTTTTGTATGTCCCATTGTTCTTTGATGGATGAGTATTTTTTTGTTGGTGTTGTCTCTCAGACATAGTGTTTTGTAGAACAAATCTCAAAGTGCTGAAATGAGAGAAAAAACAGCTATTATATAATAAAAATACCACCCCATAAACATCTCTCAAACAATATTTAAATCCCTCACAAATGTAAACACAATCTCTTATTTGCTGAATTTTACTCCTTAAGTACATCTACGTGATTTTTATGAAATGCATCACCTATAATTTTACTTAATATGTTTTTCTTAAATAAATTCACTGTTTTTTCCACATGAAGGAATGGGGTAGTTTTCAAGAAGTCGAATAAGTAATGGTGAGGAGAATCAGAAGCTAGCAGTGTCTGGTTAGACTAAGCCATTTAGAGATTCCAAGCAAAAAAGGACTATGGCATCCCATCTCCCATGAGTACATGCTAAGTTGCTTCAGTTATGTCTGACTCTTCCAGACCCTACAGACTGATGGAAGCCTGCCAGGCTCCTCCATCCCCCACACACTTTGAAAACTACCGATCGGCAAAGCAAATAACAAAAAACAAATTCTGAATCTTCATGTAATGGCTAGTTTCACACTTTTATTGAAAAAATATCAAATTCTTAAAAAATAGTCTCCTCTCGATATACGGAACAATTAAGAGACAGAAATTAAGATCACATCTGAAATTATCTATATAAATTGGCATCTAGGAGTTCTCGGGTATTGATAAACATGTGGTCAGAGAAGCACAATGGACGTCACCACGGGGCAGAAAGTGAATACCGAGTGGAGATAAGCAAAAGGTATGGCTTTAATATGGGGGTGGGGAAGGGGAAAGAGAAGCGGGGGAGTCAACCCAGTTTCCCAAGCCTGAGAAGTCCCTCGGGTTTGAGAAAAGTCCCTGTTTTTTCCCAAGGGATGCTGAGAGAAGTCCCTCAACCCCTGTCTCTGAGCCGCCTGCTGTTCCACCAATTCTGAGTAAACCTGGTACTGTTGGGGCGTCCATCCTACCAGACTTAAACCTCCGCCAGCTGGATATAAAAGTTAGTGGAAAACTTGGAATCTGAGCCACAGTCTCCTCAAAGTTCCCCGAGTCAGGACACATACCTTAATTCTAAAGGTTTTCCTCACTGACTGGTCCGATTCCTCAGAGGACTAAACGGAGTTACTAACCGCCATTAAGGGGGCTCTCCACACGCTTAAACAGCGCTCCCTCTCGCGCGAACATAGAGCGTCACATGACTGCGAGATTCACGTAGTGCGCCACCGTGGGGCGCCCCTCCTAGCCCCGCCCAGAACTTCCGGGGGTTTGACGGGCATGGACCACGTAATAAAAAGATCGAAGTCACCTCGGGGATCAGGAGCTCTCAATCCTCATGTAACTGAAAACTGACCATCAAGTGACCACAGCATGTCACATGGACCATAGAATGAATATACACAACCAAGAGCCACTGGATAGGTGCAGTTGTTCATATGACTGCAAGCAGTTTGCTTGCCGTGTGATGGTAGGAGCCATGTCACTGTTGATGCAGGGATCTTGATTGGGTAGCCAGCAATATTTACAAGATAGTGATGGCTGAGCCTCTTATGTGACCAAGGGGGACCATAGCATCCATATGATTCTAAGAAACAGGTCATCTTTGTGACTTGGAGGGCTGAGGTTTCCACATGCTATTAGCTAGTATAGGCCACGTGACAGGATGAATCCACATGATGTGCAAGGTTTAGGAGTCCGCTGTACTCTAGTGATTTGAAAAGCTGGACCTCTGACATGATCATAATGGCAATCGGTCCAGAGAGACTTCGTGAGCTCAGGATTTAAGATCTCGTGATGCTGACATGATCTGCAGGTCTGGGCCTGCCACGCATCTGTAGTGTCCACGAGATGGCAGCATCCAAGTGACCACAGCCTTAGGTACCCAGGATAATCACAAGCTGGATCAGCTTCCTGAGTGACGGTGACAGTAGGATTCTCGTGGCTGCGTGTTTCAGGAAACCGTTCTCTTTTTGAGACCTGGAGATCCGAGATTGCTCACATTCCTGGTTTTCCCGTTGAGGGTGGTGTCTATGGGTGATCTTCTTGAGCACACAAGCCTTGGCTAATCCAATCCCTTTAATGTGCTAGTAAATTTCTTTAATGTGCTTATTTTGTTTTTCCTAACAATACATGAAATTTAATACATAAATTAACGCATAACAATGAACTGTGCATGCTGCGTGCTCAGTTGCTGAGTCATGTCCTACTCTTTACATGGTCCTCCTTAAAACCAAAACTGTTGCTGTATTGTAAGGACTACTTAAAAAACCTAAGTGGTGGGTATAGGTAAGCTTTGTTGACTTAATTTCATGGAAGTCTAAGAGAAATTAAAGCAAACCCAGTAAGTGAATTTCAGTTGTTAATTTGAAAAACAAAATGTGTATAAATGATTTCAATGTGTTAAGCACTTTGTGTATGTGTGTGTCAAGCACTTTAAAACATTATGTTAACTCATTTAATAGTGGTAATTCTATAAACAGCTTCCCAGACAGCTCAGTTAGTAAAGAATTCACCTGTAATGCAGGAGAACAGGGTTCAATTCCTGGGTCTGCAAAATCCCCTGGAGAAAGGATAGGTTACTCACTCCAGTATTCTTGCCTGGAAAATTCCATGGACTGAGGTGCCTGGTAGGCTACAGTCCATGGGATCGCAAAGAGTTGGACCTGACTGAGTTACTTCACTTTCATTTTCTTTCCACCCACTCCAGTATTCTTGGGCTTCCCTTGTGGCTCAGCTGGTAAAGAATCTGCCTGCAATGTGAGAGATCTGGGGTCAATCCCTGGGTTGGGAAGGTCCAGTCCCTGGAACTATTATTATTCCAGTTTTCACAGATGAGAAAGGTGAAGCACAGATGTGTGAAGTCATTTGCCTAAAAAGTAACTGCATTTATAGGTGCCAAGTTAGGGGTTACCCCTAGACACTCTCGCTCCAGACTTTGTGTTTTGATCACCCACAAGATTTTCCAAAGGAAATTAAGAATGACTCAATCTTCCTTATTCTATTAACTGGAAAACCATCCTCAGTTACCGAAAAGTTGAGATCATAGAGGACCTCTTTAAAATACCATTTAAATAATTTCAAGTACTACCATTATTATTATTAGAGCTAATCAAAGTTGAAGCCAATTAAATCCTTCAGATTCATTTTAATGTATATTCATTTAATTTATTTTAATATAAACTTATCCTTAACACATGAAGTATTTGTGTATATAAAAGGTGATATAACATGCTAGATGCTAGGTTAAAACATTTCCTTCTTTTATTTTTTAAAATAATTTTATTTATTTAATTTTGGCTGTGCTGGATCTTCACTGCTGCATGGGCTTTTCTCTAGTTGTGGTGAGCGGGAGCTATTCTAGTTGTGGTGCACAGGCCTCTCATTGTGTGGCCTTCTCTTGTTGTGAAGCATGGGCTCTAGAGTGCTCAAGCTTTTATAGTTGTGGCCCACGGTCTCAGTAGTTGTGGTTTCCAGGCTTAGTTGCTCTTCAGCATGTGGAATCTTCCCAGATCAGGAATCGAACCTGTGTTTCCTGCATTGGCCACTGAGCCACCAGGGAAACCCCCTTCTTTTATTTTTAAAAACTACAAGAGAAATATGACAGTCTTTATAGCTCTTTGTGGAATTTCAAAAGTTAAAAATGAGTGGAATCTGAATTTACATTTAGTTTGCACCTTTCTAGAGAGAACAGAGAAAGGGGGAAGGACATATGCTATATATATACATTTTTTTTTTAGTTGCTGTTTTATAGACACTGTTTTTGCTGATTAGTGTGGAAAAATGAAGCTTTGTCTGTATATCCAAAATAAATTTGAAGTGGTCTTTCTGGCTTGCTGGCTTAGGCAAACTTAATGCTGTACAAGCAATGGGATTGTTTTGCTAGCACCCTGCAATGTGGCATGGCTATATAAATAATCTGAAGAAAATACTACAGACCAAATTTTGCACCATGGTTAAATTTGAATATACTAGTAAAGACAGCAGACTGTGTGTTTGTAGTTCTAAGCCTTTTGAAGGGAGTCATGATTTCTTGGAGTGACTATATTTGGGCAACTTGGTGTTTCTTAGATAATTTTGGATTATTTATGGGACACGTGTAAATGCAGAGTATGAAAATGAAGCCACATATTTACAATAGAACCTACTGTGAAACTTTGAGATGGATGTAGGAAGCATCTGTATACAATCACAGGATGGAATCTGACATGAGCTGATGTCTGTCCCAACTCTAGTTTCTGTAATTACCTGGTGGTGTGGTGGTTTATTTGCTAAGTCATGTCCAACTCTTGTGACCACATGGACTGTAGCCTGCCAGGTTCCTCTGTCCATGGGATTTTCCAGGCAAGGATACTGGAGGAGGTTGCCATTTAATTCTCCAGGGGATCTTCCCGACACAGGGGTTGAATCTGGGTCTCCTGCATTGCAAGCAGATTCTTTACTGACTGAGCTACCAGGGAAGCCCCTTCTGTAATTACCTATGGATGGATAAATCCACTAATGGCTACTGAGGTCAACTTCTCTCACCAAAAAACAAACCCTGGAGTTATAATTATAACTTTTCTTGGGAAGGGTCAGATATATTCTCCTGTCAGAACTAATGGTCATATCATTTATTTTTTCTCTGAGATGATTACCAGGTGGTGTTTTTTGGAGATTAAAAAATATATTTAGTTACACTGATGGGTGCCTGTCAGCTCTTTCTAATATACATTGTGGAAAGGAGGCTAAGCCTATGGATAAACACCTACATGAACACAGCTTATATGAGCTAAGCTGTTTAGACGTTGCATTTACCAGATGTTGTTACTATTTAGATGAGGCAGGAGGTTGGTATGACATTCTTCTTAAATACTATTTGGCAAGATTTACTGGAAACATTTACTTCTTTTATATTTCTGTTTTGTGGTGGACATTTTGGAGGTCAGTGCTAGTGTTGCAAAGAAGCAAATTAATTCTGACTCCCTGTTGGAACTGTTTCTTTGACATGCTATTCATTGTTTTTGTTATTATAATCATACATAATGTCTTGCTTAGAAGGATCCTGCCCCTCTGACAGACTGTTAAACTAAAGTGCCTTTGTTCAGAACCCTGTCCACCTATAGATATCAGGAAGGAAGAAATTAACACATCCCCTGCCTGAGGCTTACCATTCTAAAAATGTTTGCAAGATTAATGGCCTTTTTACTTTGCTTCCTCACCTCTCCCATCTCTGATCGAAAAGAGAAACTGGCATCCAGACCCCGAAAAGATGGTTATTTTGAGGTGCTAGCCTGCCATCTTCTTGGTCAGCTGCTTTCGAATAAAGTAATTTTCCTTGCCTCAACACCTCCTATTGTGCTTTATTTAACACAGATAAATGGGAAAGGGGAATAACAGACAGTTGTGATACTGCCAAAACTACACACAAATACTCAAATGCTTTTGGTCCAAACACAAATGTGTACAACTAAAGAAGAAATCCTGAGTGAATTTACTTTAAGAAAGTAAAATTGACTTAATCTGGTAATAATATTCAAAAGAATTGATCAGATATGGCTGCACCTTTATGGAATTTGTAATCAAAACATGTTTTTCTTTGTTCCTTTAAGAAATTCATTAATTAACTAGAAGTGACTTTACTACCAAACAATGGGAAAGAAGAGAATCAATTGTAGATAGTGCTTCCTGTCAAAGTACTCCATATGCTCCCTTCTCCCAACACAATGTAAAATTTAACAGCTCTAGGTGATGAGCTCATTCTTGGGGACTTCCCTACTATGGAAATAAGAAATCACATCCACAATGAAAATTTCTTTTGTGGTCAGTGGATAGGAAAAAGTGTGAAGGCTGGGATTCCTTACAGGGTTTTTGTTCATAAAGTATGCCATTTGTGATGGTATGATTCACAGTTTGAAAATCCCATCCACATGAAGACCATTAAAAAATAAATGTGTGGTTCAAGACTTTAAAAACTGTTAGAAATAAAGAATTTAAGTGGCCTTAGCTTGACTCTTGTTATCTACTCATTGTAACTATTTTTTCCACCCCCAAAATAATTCCAATATTGTCTTTGGAAATATTATGAGACCTGTTTTTACATAAACAGCCACATTGTTTTATTATAATGTCACACTTTCATTTAATGCTGGTGGATATGTTCACATATGATGTAAAAGAGTGACCTTTGCCAGCTTTCTTTAGAATGAAG